ACCCAGGACTGAACTCAGCACCTTGCGCTTGCAAGGCAGGTGGTGGAACCACTGAGCTAAATGCCTGGCCCACTTTTTTCTCTTTTTAAACAGAAGTTAAAATAAAAGTATAAAATTAAAATGAGAAATATCATGTAAATACCACCTTAATTTGCACATTTCCTCCAGTATTTCAACAATTTCATGTTGATATGAAAAGTTTCTGTAGTTCTATATTCATATACTTCATCCTTGGCAGACTTTATTTTATGAAAAAATAAAACATATTTTCATAACCAAATAGAGAATAATGATAGTTATTACATTATTATCTTCAGAATAGTTACTAAGTACAAGACAGAAGAAATAGACGTGTTCATTAGCTTTCTGTTGCTGTTACAAAACACTTGAAAAACACAATGTAAAGGAGGAGAGGTCTGTATGTTTTGGCTCATGGTTCCACCCCCAGTCAGCTGGCTCCATTGTCTCTGAGCCTGTGGTGAGGCAGAATCTCCATGGTGGAAGAGCTTGGTGGAGCTGAAAGCTGTTTACCTCATGGCAAGCGGGGAGCAGAGACAAAAAGAACAAGGACAGGACCAGGAACAAGACATACCCTTTCAGGGTACACCCCCTAACAACCTACTTCCTTCGATTAAGCCTTACTCCTGCTGTGTTCACCACCTCCAATTCCATTAAATTATGAACTCATTGTTCCAGAATGGCGGAAAGAAATGTAAGGAGACACAGAAGTTGGGTAAAAAAAACAAAGCCTTTACTAGGTAGTGAGGGGGACCGCCAGAAACTCGTGTGATTAATGTTCGCCCTGTCCTTTGTTTTAACATTTCCTTTTATATCTTCTCTTAGCCATTACCTTATTTCTGGTGGTCTTAGTAAAATTACTGTTTCTCTTTTACAACTAGTTCCTGTTAATGGTTATAGTCACAGACATATAACAAACAGATGGTGCCTAAAACACATACATTGTAAACTACCCAAACATTTCTACTTTGCTTTTCTCCAGGTTAAATGTTATCTACAGTTAGGTTACAGGTCAAAGGTTCAGTTAGCCATCACCTTAAGCAATAAGAGTTATGGGAAAGGTAAATCTTAAAGGAATGTATCACTTATTTTACTTCAGCTACCTTAATAACTAACCTATAGTTTAAATTTTCTCTATCATCATAACAACAGAGATTAGCACTTTTAAAAGTTTGAACAAACAATTGAATAGGAGAAATACTGTTGATTGTACTTTTAAAATTCAGGTTGCAGTACAGAACTTTAACTTATTTTTGTGAGATAGAAGTGTTCATATTCAACATTTCATATATTTCTATTGTTTCAATAAAGAATACAAAAAAGAATTCCCTATGTACATATCTAGAAATGTACATGTTTCTTTTTTCTTTTTTTTTTTGCACCGGGGATCGAACTTGGGTCCTTGTGCTTGTGCAGCAGGTGGCAAAACCACTGAGCTAAATCCCCAGCCCAAATTTTTTGTTTTTTTTTTGGTACCGGAGATCGAACTCGGGTCCTTGTGCTTAAAAATTGTCTTCCAGTAAAGAATTCATGCAACTCAATGACAAAAAACCCCCTAATTTCAAAGTGGTCAAAGGATTTGAGATATTTCTCCAAAGAGGATAAATAAATCCAATAAGTACATGAAATGATGTTTAGTCATTGGGGAAATGCAAATCAAAAACATAATACCATAAACACTCACTAGGTAGGCTTAAAAAAATATCACAAGAAGAAACAAGTGACAGCAAAGATGTTGAGAAATTGGAACTCATAGACAAGGTATGATTGAAAAACACAGTGAATGTTTAAATCTTCAAAAGTTATTACAGTAAAAGATACACTGCCATTAATCCTTTTCTAAAGACTCCACCCTCGCTTGGAATACACATCATCATCAACACTGCCACTTTATGAAGTTATTCTCAAAGTCCTCTTTTTTGTCTTTAGTTGTGCTGCTGTGGCTGTTTGATATCTGAATAGATTAAAAACATTTACCTTTCATGATCATTTTGACTTTTGGGAAGATCTAGAAGTCAAACAGTGTGACACCAAAGAGGCCTAGAACTGCTTCAGAAAGCCAGGCATGGGGTGCACACCTGTACTCCTAGCTGATACAGGAAATCACTGGAGTTTGAAGTCAGCCTGGGCTACACAGTGAGTTCAAGGTCAGCTTGCACTATATAGAGAGACTCTGTCCAAAAGACAAAACAAAACACCAAAAAACCTCCAACAACAACCCCAAACAAAAAACATTAACAAAACCCAACTACAGAAAACCCCAAACCACTCAAAATTAAAAAACAAAATCAAAGCAGCCAAAATGCTGGGATACATGTGTTCAGAGGATGAATATAGTATTTTTGAAGGGGACTAGTGGAGAGGTATCCTTCACTGTAAAAAAATGTTTTACATTTAAACTTTCATCATATATTTTTTAATCACCCCTTTTACATTGCTGATGAGAATGTAAAACAATATAGCCACTGTAGAAAACAGTTTGTTGGTTCCTTAAGTTAACCATAGAATTACTTAAATGCCCTAGCAATTCCACTCATAGGGTATATACACACAAAATATTGAAATAGGTGTCTAAAAAATCCTATACATGCATATTTATAGCAGTTCTGTTCACAATAAGCAAAAGGTGGAAACAACCATTATATCTGTTAACTCACGGATGGATAAACAAAATGTGCTATACAATGAAATATTATTAGTAAAGAATCAAGTAATGATACATGCTATAGCATAGTTGAATCTTGAAAAGTTTTGCTAAATAAAAGAAAGTAAACATAAAAGCCTACATATTGTATGGTATTATTTATACAAAATATCTAGAGTAGACAATTCTGCAGAGACAGAAAGAAGTAGTTGCCTAGTGTTTTTGGGAAGGAGAATGTTGAGTGATTATTGAGTATGGGGTTATTGTTTGGGGGTGATACAAGGTTCTGAAGCTAAATAGTGGTGATGGTTGCCTAATATAGTGAATGTATTAATGTCAATAAATAGTTCATTTGTAGCCATTGTAAATGACATATTTCATGGCTACAATGGTAAATTTTATGTTATATGCATTTTGTCACAATAAGAAGAAAATAAAAAATGCCTGGTGAAAAATTCAGGACATTATGATTTTTTAGGATATACGTATTATATATTGAAGTATACATAGTAGATATCATTGTTTTTTTTTTTTCCAGTACCAGGGATCAAACTTAGGACCTTGCACTTGCCAGGCAGGAGCAGCAAATCTCATTGCTACATCTGCAGCAGATCTCATTGCTTTTTAAAAGAATCTGTGATTAGAAGAAATGATGCCTTTTTGTGTGAGTAGCAGTCATAAAAATGTATGTTCATATTGATTTCAAGCCAAACATCTGAGTTATGTGGTTAGAGTTCCTAGTTTTAAAACCTGTGAATTTTCACATGATTGCAGATCTAATGTTGTATTTCAAATGATAGGGGGTACAGGAAAAGATCTGGCTTAGAGTTAAATGGAATTAAGTGGATTTAAATTCTATCTTTTCTAATACCAGATGTGGAACTTTAGCCAAGTTATAGACACCTCTTAAGTCCCACTTTCTTCACCATTAAAATGAAGATAATAACTACTTTAAAGTGATATAAGAATTGAGTGAATTCGGGCCGGGGATTTAGCTCAGTGGTTCTGCCACCTGCCTTGCAAGTGCAAGGTCCCGAGTTCCGTACCAGAAAAAAAAAAAAAAAAAAAAAGAAAGAAAAGAATTGAGTGAATTCATATATGAAAAGTACTTAGTAACTGGACTCAGAATAAGATAATGTTGTAGATGGTAGCTATTTCTAAGACAAGCTTACATGTACTTTTCCTAACAAAACCCTTTTATAATTTTGCTTGGTATTCACTTTCAGTGGAAAAGAAGCCCGCTTATCTTGTCTTAACCAGATGCTAACTGGAAGTCTGTCTTCTGGCATGCTATATTCTTTCCTCGATGATTTTGAAGTAATCAGTTAAAGTGGTCCCTTCCCTATTCCACTGTCCCTTGGTCCTCACCTCAAATCTTCTCCAAGCATTCTGGAACACTTTAGGGGTCAGGGAAGGGCAGATACAGCTTTCTGCAAAAACTCTGGTACCAGCTCAATGTGCATCTCCTTATTAATCCCAAGATCTTTTTAATGATAGAGAAAGGTGACTGCCTATCTGTAGTTTATAAAAAAAGCAAGAAGGGAGCAAAACAAACAAATGAGAATGAAAGATAAAAGCCGGTCTTGTTTCTTTTATCATGCTTGAAATTACTGATTTCAGATTGGTCCAAGGGTACAAACTGTTGGGAAATATAGGACACACTAGCTCTGATATCCAGGCCACGAATAAAGAAATTAAAGACTCAAAGGAAATCATGACTCTTGCAAAACAAAAGACAAAGGATGTAGGAAGGATCATAATTCAAATGGGAAACCTGCTTGATAGTCCCAGGTCAGCACAAGGCTTTCCAAGTCTCCTTGACATCAGTCAGCTGGATGTCAGCTCTGTACATAAGGCAGTTTTGCTAAGGGGTGAAGAAAACACTAAAGTATAAAACCTATTCCCCGATCTTCAAGGAGCTTACAACAGTGCTGGAAAGATTAGCCATGTAACTAACACTCCAGGGCGGTCAATGAAACGTGACAAATGAGTTGGCAGAGACCTTGAAGGAGGAGAAATTCACAGTTAAGGATCATTTGGGGCCGGAGGCTTGTCAAGAAAGGCTTTAAAAGGTGGAATGGAAGCTAAGCCCTAAGCGGAGGGTAGTTTTAGGCGGGGGAAAAAAAATCCCTGTTTTCCTTGAGGACTCAGAGCCAGTAAGTAAGGAACACTGCCCAACAGGGGTATCGCCTCCGGCCACTGCGCATGCGCATCCCTCGGCTCGCTCCCGGAGCGCAGCACTTGGGAATCGCTGGGAAGCCCGGGAGTTTAAGACGCCGCGCGCCAAGGCGGGAAAAGACTCGCGCATGCGCAGCGCGGCACTCTGGTTAGCCGGATGGGGACCGGGAGGTGGGGTTTCTGAGGGGGGAGCTGACCCGTTAGCTGCTCGGCCGGCCATGGCGGCGCACTCGCCGTCCTCCCCTCTCCTTTCGCCTCCGGGGCGACAGCTGGGCCCCCGGTCCCCGCGCGTCGGTCGGGGAGCTGACGTACACGCGGTGCGCAGCGAGGCCCCGAGTCCCGCCGGCGCGGCCTGGGAGGGCGCCGCGGGCAGCAGGGCGCAGTCTCGGCGGGGCAGCAGAGGGCCGGCGGGGGCAGGCCAGGCTGCGGCCCCGCTCCTCAACGCGCCCCGGGGCCGCGGCCGGCGGGAGGGCGGCTCGGTGGAGGAGGCGCTGGCGACGCGGACGCGGCTGCTGCGGGAGGAGCTGAGCGGCCTGAAGGAGGAGCTAGCCCTGTGTCAGGTACCGCGGGCGTCGCCGCCGCCCCTCTGCGGCCGCGCGCGGGATGGCGCCCTGCGCCTGGTCTTCCCGCCGTGCGCTCGGGCCGGCGAGGCCCCTGTCCGCAGCCTCCATGCCCGCACCCGCCCGCGGAAGGGGCTGTCTCGTGTCCCCGCGGCCCAGGACTCGAGATGGAGCGGAGGCCGCGCACGCTGTCACAGTCCAGCCACGAAGTACCTACCCTGCCTCGAATTTTCAAACGCACCCTTGCCGTTCTTTCACGCTCGAACTTCAGTTGTAAACACAGACTCATAATTTTGGGGGAGACTGGGGCTGGGAATTTAAACACACAACAGATGATGCTGGCAAACCAAATAGTAATTCCATAGTCCTTGAGTGAGAAAATCTCACCGTAATGCGATTCTGTCGGTGAAAAGCATTTGCTAAATCAGTTGCCCTAACATCACTTTCCTTTTATTTAAAGAGTTTGTATACTATGGATGAGCCGACACAGATTTAATTCATAGAGATTTAATTCTCCTTGAGTTCTGCCTCCTTACCAACTTTTCAAGGGATTAGGAGATTAAATGTAGGGAACTCCCGCAACAATAGTTGCTGTCCAATTTAGGAACTGCTGAACAACAAGGCAACTACAGTATCAGCTCAAGTTAATAAAACAATTTGTGAAATTCATTCTTCTTGCAATTTGTTTTGTTGGGTTATTTTGCCCCTTTTGTAAGTCCTTGTTGATTGGATCAGGGTCTAAGAGGACAATCTTGTTTAATTTGCTTAAACAAGTTGGGGAAGCATTGTGTGACTGGCCTCTTCATTTTTCCCATTCTGTTTTTCACTGGTTAAGGAGCAAAGGGTTGAAGACTGATGAACTAAAACGTATTTTCTCCTGCAGACCCCACCGTGGTTAAAGATGTGAACTCATGATAAAGCCTTTGATGAAGTCATAATCTAAGATATTATTTGCCCAAGTTTTCTACACTTTCTACCTTTCTGCTCCATAGTTAGGATCTTAGCTGGGGAAGGAGCTGAAACATTTACTTTTATGACTAACTTGATTAAGGAAGTCTATCTGTGGAAAACAGCCTGGTGAACTTCTTCCCTTCAGTCTGTTCACTATTAGATTCTTTAAAAATGTGGCTCCCGACAAGACGTTAGGCTTTTTGACCTTGGATATATCTGGATTAGGAAGATGATTGCAATACTGTAGCAAATGTAAAAGTATTGAGATGGTCATAATTAACTTAGAAATAAGATTCTTGTGACTTACATTGTTAGGTGATCATAAGCATTCCAGTAATGTGAAATGAGGTTGATCATATTCCACACCATAAAACTTTAGTCGGTTCAGATTCTTGCTCTTAGGAAAACTTGAGAAAATTATTGAACTCCCAATTGTTTTGTAAAAAAGCATTTAAATAAACACTTTTGCAAGTTTTTTTATTCCTTCTTCCACTGTTTTTCAGCTAGAAATCACCTGAGAATACATAGTATTAAAAGTGCTAGAGTTTGCAACCAAAGCTAACAAATTCATTTTATATCTCAACATAGTAAGAAAACATACACACATAATTTCAGAAAGAATATTTATCCTGTTTAGTGAACTTTGGTATTTTCTTTGCAATTCTTTTTTAAAAAAGTGCTGTTGAGGTTTGCAACACTCTGGTAGAACACTTGCCTAGCATGAGCTGGGCCTAGGGTTCAAACCCAGCACCACTAAATAAATAAGAGAGTGTTATTCAGGTCTAAATTCACTTCATAACTCTGTAATGTGTCAAACACTTTGGGAAACAACTCTGCTGATTAGTCTGTTATATGTAATAACTTCATTTAAGTTAGTTTTTTCTCATATTATGGGAACTCAGTTTTATGTGATTGGTAAAGAAAAAGCTTGTATGGTTCTGTGTATCATTTGACTCCTTTGAAGTGTTTCAGAATAAGTGTAATAAAAATGTTTTTCTTAATATGAACATCTCATCCTATTCTGTATGATTGTATTACCTAATTAAACCTGTTTTTTCAGAAGACCCTGAAATTATCAAGAAAACTACACACGCTTAGCTATAGAAAAGGTGATTAATTTCAGTGTGGGAAGAAAAGCTGTGTATTAACACTTTCTGAGGATAGTAGTTTAGCTTCCAAATGTAGGTTTTCTCAATGAATTTTCAAGGATGTGCCAAAGGTTAATTCTGAGTACATGACATTTATGCCTTATTTCATTGATTCAGAATGTAGTTCCATCAATATTAATTGTGTCTTTCAAGAATGTATTCAGTTTGTGACAAAAGATGCTGGGAGTATGTGTATATGCACATTTACTACCATTTGTAGAATACCAGCTGAGAAAAAGTGTTTATAAAACTTGTTTTATTTTTTGGTAGCAGCTAGTAATACTTATTAAACCTGTAAACCAATTTCAGGTAAAAAAAAATAGAGCATTTAGATAAAATACATGTTAATTATGAAATTTAAAAATGAAACTATCTTTTTAGAAGCAGATAATATTAAGAATATATTATGAGTGGGGCGAGGGATTTAGCTCAGTGGCACCGTGCCTGCCTCAAGCGCAAAGTCCTGAGTTCGAACTCTGGTACCAAACAAAAACAAAACCCCCCCCAAAATGTATATATATAATGAGAGAATTAAACCAGTTTTATGCTAGAAATTTAGATGTGTTGAAAGAAATACGAATTTGTGAATGTTTTCTACAGATTCCTCCCATAGTTAGCTGTATCCTAATAGCTGAATCTTTCTGTGCAATTTTTAAAATGATAATTTGCTAAATGGATACTTTGTGTTATATTTCAAATAATCTCCTCTGTGGCTTTCCTTGAATTCTGATAGGCAAATTGTTTAAATGTAGGAAATAGTTTTTGGATGTAGAGGTAAATTGAAGGCCTCCTATGTTTCCAACACTCATCCAAGTGTCTGGAGTATAAGTACCTAGTGAAAAAAGGCAGTTTGGGGATATCTGTGCTTGTATATAGATGATGTTTATTTTTATTGAAGCTGATAAGTAAAAGAAAAATCACATCTACCTTTAAGGAAATGCAGAACCAAATCACCTATCCTTTAATCAGCTGTTTCATATAATGAGTTTAATAAACATTGTGAGAAAGGTTAGGAATTTTTATTTCAATTTAAAATTATTTGGCTCTGGAAATTTTATAGTGAGAATAAAGAATTGTACAACAAGTAATTGTTCAAGGTTTTTATTTCTAATTTTTTAAAAAAGAACATCTTTATCCAAAAGAAGGGAAATATAATAGTGTGGTTGGCATTTATTAGCTTTCTTGTTTAATAATGTCTGGAATAGTTTGGAAACTAATTCTGTGATTTTTTGGGGGGCGTGTAATTTATTTATTTTTGTATGTAAGTCTTCTGCATGTGGATATACAGTTTTCCCAGCATCATTTGTTAAAAAAACCAACCAACTTTTTCAACAGCATATACTTTTGGCCCCTTTGTCAAAAATCAGATGGCTCGCAAGGTCCTGAGTTCGATCCCTTGTACCAAAAAAAAAATCAGATGGCTGTAGGTGTGTGGGGTTGTTTCTGTGTCTTCTGTTCCATAGGTCTATTTGTCTATTTTTCTGCCAATATCATGTTTTCGTTTCTATGACTTTCTAGTGTAAATTGAAATCCAGTGTTCTTTTTGCTCAAGATTGCTTTGCTTATTCTGTCTTTTCTGATTCCACATGAATTTTAAATTTGCTTTTTCCTAGCTCTATGAAGAATTTTAATAGGAAATTACATTGAATCTGTAGATCACTTTTGGAAATATGGCCATTTTAACAATATTCTGTCCATCTATGAATAAGGAAGGACTTCCCATTGTCTAATGTCTTCAGTTTCTTCAGAGTTTTATAATTTTCATTGTAGAGGTCTTTCACCCTTTGGTTAGGTTAACTCCTAGGTATTTAAATTTTTTTTCATGTTGTGAATGGAATTGTCTTCCTGATTTCTTCATGGGTTTATTGTTGGGGTACGGGAGCCCTATTGATTTTCCTTTTTAGTAATTAGAGGTATAGTCCACTTTGAAGATAATACAGCATTTGAATAATTAAAATACTCACAAAACTATGACTTAGCTCCACAACCCATTTGTGCCTTTTATTTCTCATCAAGGAACTTATTTTTTTTCCACATTACTAGACCTAATGTACAGCATGATGGTTATAGTTAATAACAGTGTATTGTACCCTTGAAAATTGGTGAGAGAATAGATTTTTAAGTTTTCTCACCACAAAGATTTTTATATGAGGTAATAGATATGTTAATTAGCTTGATGTAGCCATTCCACTAAATATATTATATCTATATTATGTGTACTATAAATATATACAATGTTTGTCAACTAAGAAATAATAGATTCTAGAAGAAAAAAATGGATATATTTTAAATCTTGGAATAGAGATGGCCTTTACAACTTGTACATAAAATCCATAAATCATAATGGAAAAGGGGCTGGGGATTTAACTCAGTGGTTCTGCCGCTTGCCTCGCAAGTGCAAGGACCTGAGTTCGATTCCTGGTACCCCCCCAAAAAAACCCATAATGGAAAAGATGGATACATTTGAATACATACAATTAATAACTTTTCAAGAAAATCCTCAGTGTAAATAGAGTTAAATAAGCAGCAGTGAACTGGGAGAAAGTCCTTATAAACCATTTGGTAGTCATAAGTCTAATTTTAAGATTTCCTCTAAGCTCCAACAACACTTTGTATATTTCACTGGCAGAATTTAAATCACATAGCTACAAGATAACAGCGGCCATAGTGATAGTTGGCAAATAGACAAAATGGTTTCTGTAAGAGAATGGATGGTGGAGACAGATACAAATTGTGGTATCTACTGCACAAGTAAACTCAACCAGCTATAGGACTAATAAATGGAGTTTTCCAGAAAAAAAAAAAGCCAGAAACAAACACTGTATGGGGTTATCAAAGACATGTATTTTGTTAGCTCTAGTAAATACAGTAGCTAGGGAAGACCTCTCTTGAGATAGTGGTATTTAAGCAGGCATGAATGAAGTAAAGGCATAATCCATATAAAAACCTAGTAAACAGTAATTATGTACAGAGGTCCTAGTTCAAGTAGAGCATCAAAATCTGTGTGAACAAAGAGGGACAGATGAAATTGTATGCGGCCAGTTTATGTAGGGTTTTGTAGTCTTGTTAAAGAGTTTGGATTATTTCCTAATCTAATGGGAACCCTTTGGAAAGTTTTGAGCTATAAGATTACAGACTGTCAGCTTGGCAAGAGTTGAAATTAACTTGGACTAAGGTAAGAGTAGTTACATTGATAAGAGTGGTCAGAATTGGGATATATTTTGCAGATAAAGCCATTTCTTATGGTTTGGATATGAAGTGTGAGGAAAAGAGCAACCAAGATTAACTCCTACATTTTAGGTCTTTCGACTAATGAGTAGATATTGGTACCATTTTCTGAGATGCAGAGAGGCAGGTTTGTGAGAGGGAAGGAATCAAGATTTTACTTTAGATAAGTTCTAACTTTAAGTTATTATTAGAGAATTGGCATGTAGGCAATTGGAGATAGAAGTCTGGACCAATCAGTAGAGGAAACATCTAGAGATAGAAATGTGGAGGTCTCAGTGAAAAATTAATGTGTAAAATCATGGGACTGGTATGTGGTCAGCCAGGACAGTGTTTTTCAACCTTGAGTACACAGATTCATGTGAGGAGCTTTCAGAAAATACTGTGAAGATGCTTGGATCTTAATTGAGACTAAATCTGAATTTCTAGGTTATCACTTTTTTAAAAGCTCCCCCAAATTGATTCCTAACTGTCAGTAAGAGTTAATAATAACTGATATAGGGAATAAGGACCAAAATTGTCCAATGTCCATTGGGTTGTTTTTTTTTGGTACCAGGGATCGAACTCGGGTCCATCCGCTTGTGAGGCAGGTGACAGAACCACTGAGCTACATCCCTGGCCCCATTGGATTTTTTTTTAACATAATGGTGGAGAGGGAAATCTTATTAGAAGACGTAAAGTGAATGGGAGGTGAGAAAGTGGAGACAGTTATGCTAGGCAGCTCTTTTACGGAATTTGCTCAAAGGAGGAGCTGAAAAGTGGAGCAATAGTTGCAGGGCAATTTCCTTTTTAAACAAATTCACCTTGATATTCAATATTTCAACATTTGTACCCCAAAATTGTGGGTAGTAGAAACATTAAAACTAAATACAGGTTACCAGTGTTAGAACTTTTTCAAATAAAGCTTTCCTACTATACCTTTAAAGAATTCATTGTAAAAGAAGGGATCAAGTAATTGTGTTTTAAAAATTTTTAAAAATTTAATGTAATGGCTTTGATATTGCTACCAAGCAATGGACTTAACATAGCTTTCATTTCTTTAAGGCTGATAAAGAATTTGTATGGTCTTTGTGGAAACGTCTCCAAGTGACAAGCCCTGATCTCACACATGCTGTCAGTTTGGTTGTGGAAAGGTGAGCTCCCAAATTATTTTTCATGAGTATTTGGTTTGTTAAATGTGTTTATCTTCAAAATTAAAATTTGTCATTAATACCCTAAAGAAATTAATTTGATTTCCAAATGAATGTGGAACAGAATATGATATTTATTGGATTTATTGCAAGAGGTGGTAATTCACCAAGTGCAGGCAGGCCCCATCTCCTCATATTCTGATGTATTCGTAGAGTTTGCAGGTAAGAGAAAACAATGGCTTAGACACAGTGTGAAAGGGTGTGTATATGTGTGTATGTGTTTGTATTAATCTGTTACAGCTTGGTTTTAAAAATTGGAGAAGTCCCTATTGTTTGGCTTTTTACTCCATAAACTGCCCCTCCAGGCAACTTCTTAGGCTGAACCCACTTTTCCCTTAAAATAATTGCATTGTGTACTTGAAAGCTTTGGGATGACCTTGCCAAATTAACTAAGTGTTCTGGAATAGGTTGAGCATTTTACTTATATGCTATATTATCCTTAGAGGATGCCCAGTCATTTAACTATAGGTTATTGGGCCTTTCCTTGGTCATTAAAAACAGTGTTGTTAGGCACTCCTTATCAGACATTTGGTGTACACTAGTTCCATGCCCACTAGCATAACAGTTAAAACAATTACTTTCCTATTAAATGGATTCGATTGTATTTCCTAAATGAGAAGCTAAGTTTATGGATACCTTTTCCTTTCCCTTTTGCCTTTATTGGAATCATTTTTGATAACTTAATCTAAATTCATCTTTGGAGTTTCAAGCCCTGAATATTATCATTCTAATATTGTTTGAAGTTTGACTTTTTAAAAATCTACGATAACATACCTGAATATATCTAATTTTACTCTCTTTGATTGTTGTGGACTATTAAAATGTTGTAATCAGTTTTTATTCATGTTGCTTGTATGTCTTATTCATCAGTTTTTTTCCTTTTGATGATCAGGACTAAGTCTTTAGTTGAAGCACCCTTGTTACTTCCTGAATCATCTATGAGATGAAATGTGATAAGTCTCACTCTATTTTTTTATGAATCAGAGTAAGCCTTCTAGTGGAGGGACTTCATGTGTCGTTTCTGTGCTCCTTTCTTTATCTTCCTCTCTTTTTATTATTTTTTCAACTTTAAAAAATTATCCTCCTCTGCTTTCTCTGCTAATGGATTATTTTGAAGTAAACCCCAGACATACTATTTTACCTCTAATTACTTTAGTGTTTACAGTCATTCTATTTATTAATAATAGTTATGTTCTATAAAATCTTTGGAAATACTGAATTAGCAAACACTGAGCCATTACTCCTAGGGGAAATCAAGGGTTAGGTTCTCGTGAGTCTTTGGTCACAACAGTTTTGTCAAGAGATCAACACTTAGCCATGTTTTATGTGTGTTTCTGTTTAAAAATACCTTACTTACTATTTATTTATTGTTGATTGATTAATATTGAACTTATGGGCAATAGCACTGTAACTCAAACTTTACTAAGTTTATGTAACACACTCTGTTCCCTATGCTACAAAACAGCCACCTTTCACTTAGGAACAATAGAAAGCAGTTCTGTAATGATCCTTTTAAATATCAACAAAAAGTACAGAAATATGTAAAATGTGGTATTGCGTAGGTCATGAAAAGGACACATGTGTTTACAGTATGACAGTTGTAACAAGAAGGCAGTGTCACTTTATTTGACCCAAGTTGGGAACAGATAGATAAGGTGGCTCAAATTTTTTGCAAGATTGTTCATACCTGCAGATGACTGCAAATATTGGTTTTGTTGTTAAAAATAAATTTTAGGGTAGGCAAGTTCACAGATTCTGAATCTGTAAATAAGGATCAAATATCTCTAAAAAATAAGGGCTTTAAAAAAACAATATAATTTTCATACTTAGAAATCTATTTTCTATTTTGGTTAAATGTTGTGGATAGTCATATTTTCTGATTCTTTGCATGCTTTATAATTTTTTCTTGAAAAGTAGACATTTTAGGTTTATAGTAGATCTGGTTACTAGTCTTCTCCCTCACACCCACACCTACGTTTGTTATTGTTATTTCCTTTTTCTTTTTTTTCAGTACTGAGGATCAAACTCAGGACCTTATGTTTGTGAGGCAGGCACAGTGCCACTGAGCTAAATCCCTAGCCCTGTTTCCTTATTTATTTGCTGTATTTTAGTGAAGTCTTTTTTTGTAAACCGGGATTGAATTGAGGACCTTGGGCTTGTGAGGCAGGCTTGGTGCACTGAGCTAAATCCCCAGCCCTAGTGAAGTCTGTTTTACCTTCTCACTGTATTAAGAGTCTGATGTTGCTCTTAAGGCAGGTACAAATTTGAGTGTGCCCACAGTTACCCTGGCATGACAGTATTTTTGGCAGGGCTCTCTTCTTTTTTCTGACTACACTTGGTTGTTAAACTCCACTAATTGCCTGTGGCTCTTTGCTCAATTATTTCAAAGATGCCTTAAGGCATAAATTGTTCTATAAACCAATACATTGAATTTGTGACTCTTTTGACATTTCACCATCAGTGTTTGATATTTTTTCCAACCTGGAAGAGGCTCCTATCTCTTACAAACTACTGAAACTAATTGGTCTGTGGAAGGGAGACTATATCCTGATATCCTTAGTTTGCCTCCACTTTTGTGGAACCATTGTGTCACAAGCAGGAATAAAGGCTTTTAAGTCTCAGTGTGCTGTGCCCAAAGTAGAGACTAGTCCATCAATTTTGGGATGGTAGAAGAATGGATTCTGTCTCTTTCAACTGCCCTTGAATTGTACTTGGCTTCAGTGATAGTCAGCTGGAATAGGATATGATATGTTAATAGTCTTACAGAGGGGAGCTGGAAGGGGCATACAGAGAAGGAGTCTTGTGTTCTTGGCTGCAAATCTCTGGAGTAGAGTCTCTCCCCTCTTGAGCTGGAAGGGTACAAGGAGGGAGTTATCTTGGTTCAAATACCATAGACACTTGCCTTTCTTAGTGAATTTTCATAGGTTTTCTTAAATAGACATTGTTTTCTATGGGTTTGTCCTTAGGATCATTTCCAGAGGATTTAGGTAGTTTTCTTATTATTTTTTATAATTTTCACCAGTTTCATTGGGGGATGAATTGGGGAACTTTTTACACTGTCATTCCTAAAGTTCGTTTCTCAATGTTTGGAGCAATTGTTTTTCCAGCAATAGAAAACTTATACACTGGATCAAAAGAGACACGTAATTGCAGTTGTGATAGGTACTACCAAAGCACCAGCTTAAGAAGTTGTACCAATTTATATTTCCGGCAGCAGTGTAAGAAGCTACTTGCTTTCTCCACACACTGGACATCATATTATCTTTAAACTTTTAATTTTGCTCATCTGAAATGTAAATAGTGATATTCTGAAATAGTTTTCACTTGTATTTATATGAATGAAGTCTGAGTCATTTTATATTATTATCTGTGGACTTTTTCTTTTATATATCTCTCTGTATTCATTGCTTTTGGCATTTCTAATTCTTATGGTCCCATTGAAACTATGTATATGTAAATGTATAGAACTTACGGGGTTTCCTTTGAGTTATTTTGCTACCTAACTTTCATTATCATAGACAGACTATTTTCTTCTTTTTCTCTGAATTTCACATTTTGAAGGGTAATCTTTGATACCTTTTGGTCTCTTTGTGAACAGAAAATCAATTCCCACGTTAAGTCACTTTCTCTTTTGCAGTGTCACTCAAATGCAGTAATTCCGTCATGTCCTTAACTTCCAAATCCTCTATCTTGGCTCCTAGTATCTTACCTCTGAACATCGTATTGATTTCTTTTTCAAAATCAGTTCTATTTTACATCTTTTCTTTGAGACAAAGCAAGATGTAAGACACCAAAGAAAATTATTTGTAAAATTCAGACTAAAGGTAGCCAATAAAAATTCTAGGACTTTCTTAATGGATATCAAGAGGAAACTTGTAGTTTTTAGGCATGGATCCCTAGTGAATACTAAAGTTACAAAGAAACCACACTCTGAGATTTGGATATACATGGCCATATTTAAAAGAGATGTCTGTGTTAACCTTTATAAATTCAAAAGGTATCAGTTAAGTGTAATCTAATTGTCAAACATTGTGCGAAAAGTTAGAGCTTATGAGCGAGTACCAGCTAGAGGGAAAAACATTTATAAAAAGAAAAGAATTTTAATAGAAATTGATATGTATTATGATAAGGATATTTATAATAATAGAGTTATTTTTCCTTGATCTCTGGGTAAAGATATAAAAATGTTCTCATTAGTTCTATTTTAAATAGAATTTATTGCAAATGAAATTTTGATTTTCCTGATAGAATATCACACAAATAGGAAAAGATTTGTATATTTTTTATGAATTTATTTGTAGAAAATACTATTTTCTTGTGAGTTACAGATATTTGAATGTATTTGTGTTTTTGAGTTTTATAAACTATTGCTGCTAAAAACACATTTTGGGTATACATTTGTTTATTAGCTCTATAAATTTACTTTTTTGCTATTACTTATAAACTCTCACTTCCTATTATTAGTGTCAAAGAGTGCAACTACTATATTTTACCTTTGAATGCCTAAGAGAACATTGCAGGAGGTGGTAGTAATAAACATGGAAGAAACAATATGGAGTTCTGTAGAATATGAATATATTAGGATGCATAGGATCTTGATTTGTTCATCTTTTTCTTGGTAACCTTTGATACATTTTGGTCCCTCTGTGGACAGAAAATCAATTCCCAAGTTCAGTCACTTTCTCTTTTGCAGTGTCACTCAAATTCAGTAATTCCTTCATATCCTTAATTTCTAAATCCTCTTATCTTGGCTGTTAGTATCTTACCTCTGAACATTGTATTGATTTTTTTTTTCAAAATCATTTATTTATTTTGTATCTTTTCTTTAAGACAAAGCAACGTATCAATGTTTAATATCTTTGGGTTAAATACAAACTATCTTGGATTTTAAAATTAATAATTATAGTGTTTTGTCTATCGAAATATTTTGAGTTTAGAGAAGA